CAGGTGTAAAGATAAATAGGTTGATAGATGCACTCATATAGAGATGCAATGCTTGGATGCATATCTGGAGATCTAGATATTTAGATGGACAGGTAGATGAGACAGAGAGAGACAGAGACAGACAGATAGAGACAGAGATACAGACAAACAGACAGATAGAAAGATAGATGGATAGATAGATAGATAGATAGATAGATAGATAGATAGATAGATAGATAGATAGATGCATATAATGAATGGAGAAATACATAGATATTTGAACAGGTAAATGTAGAAATACCCACAATGATGTAATGGAAAGAGTACACTTTAAGTAAGAGGACCTAAGACAAGTCCTAGCTATTATGTTTGCTGACTGGGTGCCCTGTGTGCGCATCATCCCTTCAATCAATCCATCATTAAGCTTTTATTAAGCACCTACTATGTGCCTGGCATTGGACCATAGAATCACAGAGCTAATACTAGAAAACACCTAAATGAATAGATGTGAAGCTATACAGAAGCATATGTAGATAGAGAAACAGGTTTAGAAGAAGAGGGTTATGGAAAGATTTATGGATGGACAAGCGGGTACAAAAAGAGATGCATGGGCAGCTAGGTGGCACAGTGGATACAGCACGGGCCCTGAAGTCAGGAGGACCTGAGTTCAAATCTGGCCTCAGACGCAAAACACTCACTAGCTGTGTGACTCTGGGCAAGCCACTTAACCCCAATTGCCTCATAAAAAGAAGAGAGAGAGAGAGAGAGAGAGAGAGAGAGAGAGAGAGAGAGAGAGAGAGAGAGAGAGATGCATGGACACACATACAACACTGGTAGAATGGGGTTGGCTGGGTTTGTGGATAGAAATGGCTCAATGGGAAGGGGATGATGCTTTCTTGTATCTTGGCTGGTCTGCAGTTTTGTAAGCACGGACCAGGTGGCATTTGGGAAACACTCATGTAACCAGTGAAATCTACATTCCCCAGCCTAACTTCTGTCAATTTCCATCCCATCTCAGTACTTAGCACAATGCTTGGCACATAGCAGGCGTTTAATAACTGCTTGTTGACCTTTACAACTTCATCTCTCTGCCCTGGTCATATTACTTTCCCAGCATTCTCCAACATTTCTTTCTCTCTCCTCTGAGGAACCTTCCTTGACAGTCTTCCACCATCAGTGGTCATTCGTGTGCTATGGAAATTATTCACCAGGTCTGGACTCAGCTTGCAACATTTCAGCTGTCCTTTGTAGAATCATAGACTGCCAGAGATGGAAGGGATCTTAGAACAGGGGTTTAGAACCCAGGGTCCACTTGAACTTTTAAAAAAAAATTTTTGATAACTATTTCAATGTAATTGTTTTCTTTTGTTAACTTTTTTTAATGTTGATAACTGTACTTCAATGTAACTGGTTTCCTCTGTAATCGCAAGTATTTTCTTGTATACATTTGAAAATATCACACAAGAAATTGAGAGGATGCCCATCAGTTGGGGAATGGCTGAGCAAGTTGTGGTATATGAATGTAATGGAATACTATTATGCTATAAGAAATGAGGAACAGGCTGACTTCAGAAAAACCTGGGAAGACTTATATGGTCTGATGCTGAGTGAAGTAAGCAGAACCCAGAGGACTTTGTACACAATAACAGCCACGTTGTTCGATAACTAATATTGTTAAACTGAACCCTTCTCAGCATTACAAGGATCTAAGACATCTCCAGAGGCCTCGGGGTGGAAAATACTGTCCACATCCAAAGAAAGAACTATGGAAGTCGAATCGCTATCACTTATTTTTACCTTCTGTTGAGTTTTGTTTCATCTTTCTGATGGTTCCTCCTATTGGTTTTAATTTGTACTTACAACTTCACTGATGTGAAAATATGTTTAATGGGTATGTAAATGTAAAGCCTATACCAGATTGTGCGCTGTCTTGGGGAGGGTCGGGGGGAGGAAAAGGGAGAAAAATTTTCAACTGAAAAGCATATGGAAAAAATGAAAAAAGAAAAGAAAAGAAAAAGAAAATATCACACAAGGAAGGGGTGCATGACAGCACACCAAAGAGGTCCGTGACACACGTGAGGTAAAGACCTCTTGTCTTAGAGCGCACAACATTCCAGTGATAAACTTGTATTGAATGAACCCAAAGGAGGAGTGAGAGTGGGGAGCAAGAATTCCAAGTCCTGTACCCCAACCAGTGAGTCAAGGGGTGGGAGGGCAAGTGCAGCCAGTACTGGGAGGGTAGCCAGAGCCAATAGGAAGGAGCTAGGTCTCAGTGAGAGCCAGAAAATGGAGGGAGTGAGAAAGGAAAAAGTTTTAGATGGAAGCAGGTTTATTATGTCAATTATGCTATGTTAATTAATTAATCATGTTAATGAATGTTAGCAATGGAGCAGGCATTCCAAAATGTGTGAGGGTGTGACTAAGATCTGGAGTAAAAAACTGAAGGGGATGAACTTAGGGGAAAGAAGAAAAAAGGGAAATGAACATTTAAGTCCCTACTATGTGCCAGGTACTGTGCTAACTGCCTTAGAAACATTATCTCGTTTAATTCTCACAACTACCCTGAGAGGTAGGTGCTATTGTGATCCCCATTTTACAGTTGAGGAAACTGAGGGAACAGGTCGTGGGGGCACAGGGATAGAGTCTGTAAAATGATAACCAGAGTTTCCAAATGGAGTTGGAGAGGAGTGTGAACAGGCCGTGGAATATGTTAGCCATTGAGGAATAAATGAGTCCAGGCACAGTAGCAGTGGCTGGACAGAGATCTGATGCGGGAAATAATTGGGAGCTGCAGAAGGTTTTGGAGTGAGGAAGTTGACATGGTCAGGCCTGTGCCTTAGGATGATTATTTTGAGTTTGGGGAATCATCTCTGGAGAGCGGAAGCAAAGGAGACCAGGAGTGACATACAATAGGGAATTACAGTAGTCTAAGCCAGTGGTGAGAAGGGCTTGAAGTGCGGTGACACAACAGTAATGATGGGGGCGGGGTGGAAGAGATGGGGGAAAGATATGTTGCTGGGGCAGAAACAATGCGCCTTGGCCGCTGATTAGGGTGGTGAGGGAGTGGGAAACATTCCCCCTAACAGCCCTCTAGGACAGATAGTGCAGGATGCAATCCTCCCCCGGAGTACACTCTCCTCCCTCTAGGGACCACCATGCTCACCCTTCAGTCATGCTCCTCTGCCAGGGTACCCCATCATGTGACACAATGGGGGTCCCAGTGCCATGACACCCCTTTCTTTCCTAGGGCTCACCTCCCCCCATAAACTCCTGGGGTAAAGGGGATGGCCTTCAGGTTCTCTGAGGAATAGGAAATACCCTCTTCTATGATCTCTGCATGGTGAGGGGGGTGCCTACCACATCCCTTCTAACTCCCCCTACTCCCCCCAAACCCTACAACTGTTTGGGCCAAAGTAAAATACTTCACTTCCTGGCCCTGGGGGGTAGGTGTTGGTGTGGGGTGGGGGTACCAGGGCTCAATGCATCCACTCCCCCTCAGTGCCTTCTTCTACTTTCCCCAACCCCCTCCCTTCAAAAATACCTCCAACTTTTAGGTCTACATACCTGACTCTCTCATCTTTCCCCACCCTGTAACCCAACACGTGTTCGCCATTTCCAGATTGATGGTGGGCTTAGGCAGGCAGATAGGGAGAACAACCGAAGAGAGTTTCAAAGAGCGCTTTAGCTGCACCAAGGCGATGTCATTTCCGTTGGGGTGACTGAACTTGTATCTCGGGTGAATGATCACCTGCATGATCTCTCGCCTCTGACTTTGCCAACTAATCTTCCTGAGGTCCGTGAAGCCTGCATACACCTCGAAGTAGTCCAGAAAATTCAGGGCTCTGAGGAGTCAGGGAAGGAGAAGTGACATCACCACCACTTGTGTCCAAGTTGAGGGAGTTCAGTAAAATCCCACCCTCTCCAGGGAGCCTTCTCTGACCAGTCCCAGACCACCACAAACTCTCTTTTCCCTGCCCTCCTGTGGCACTAAGACATGGGAGTCATATCTCATGTTATTATAACATTATATCATTATATTACAATATTATATATTATATTGGTGTAATGACAACCAAACCCAGCCCGTCCTAAGCTTTCTCTTTGCAGGGCAGTGTGGCTTGGTGGATAGAGTCTAACTCACTGGATTTGGGAGTCAGGATGACGTGGGCTCAAATCCTGTTTCTGACATTCGCTAGCGGTGTGACCACAGGCAGCCTCTCTGAGCCTCAGTTTCCCTATTTGGGCTGGATGATCTCTATATGGTCTGTTCAAATTCAAATCTGTGATTCTATGATCCTTCCCTAAACTCCAATAGCAGACCCTGGCATTTACTCAAATGCTTATTTATTGGTGATCTTCTAGAAAGGGCATAGAACTTGGAGCCAGAAGACTTGGGTTCAAAACCTCCCTCTTCTCCTGAGTAGCTGTCATACTTAGGCCAGATTGCTTTTCTTAGCCTCAATTTCCTTGCCTGTGGGATGCTGTCTGTGCACCTTTGAGTGGTATGTATGTAACAACGAACTCTTCAAGCTGCTTATAGGAAGCAAATGTGTTATAGATGCACAAGGACCCATTGCAAACGTAAGCTAGTCTTACTCCTCTAATCCTAAATCCAGTTTATACCTCTCTAGGGTTTTCAGAATGGCCAGCCATCATTCCTGTCAATCACTGGGGGCTAATTTCCAGTCACATGGGACTCATCTGCTGAGAATCCACTGATTGGATACTGAACCAGAGAAAAATAAGGACCCAGGGGACCTTTTAAAAAAAATGGAGGCATTATTTGGCTGGCCTTGTCCTGACTAAGCTTTCAGGATGACCGGAGGTAGCACAGCCAGGGAAAGGAAGCTCCTTCCCAATGCTGGGGTTCTGGTGCTCTCAATCACGTGGCACCTAGGTTTGTGGGGACTTAACCAAGCTGCCTCTATCTCTCCTTTAGTGGGTCTGCGGTTTCCACCGCAGCAGAAGTTGGCTGGTGATAATGGCAGCATCTGGACTGGGCTTTCAACAAGAAACATGAGCATCAGAGAGGCCACCAGCCCTGGAAAGATCAACCTAGAACTCTCAAATTCAGACAATGCCCAGAACAGGGATGAAATTCAAAGGGGACAGAGACTGTTTTATGTTCCAACAGGTCGTGAATATGGCCTTCCAGCTGACCATGTCAATGGGAATAAGTAAGCTTCTGAATTCTGTTCTGGTCATTCTGTAATGTGAACCATGATCTTCCTGTGCTTACCATGGCTTTCTTCGAGGAGAAATAAATCATCTGTCTTGTACCTAATCCGTATTTGTTCATTGAGTGCTTCTTTAACTCTCCCTCCCAACATTTTTGGGGGAAACCCTAGCCTAGAGCCAAAAGTAAGATTTCTCCTTGGAGTAGCCGGGAGTGGGTGGGGGGTGGTAAGAGCCAATGAGTATGAGAACTGGAGAGCCTCCTTCCCCTAGTGAGGGCTCAGGCATGAACCCAGTGCACCAGAGTCACAGAATTTGAGGGTTGGGAAAGACTTCAGCAGCAATCTATCAACCCGTATCCAAGGGGGAAAAAATCCCCACTGGCACACACCGGACAGTCACCTTGTTTCTGCTTGAAGACTCATCACCTCCTAAGACAGCATCTTGCTATAGCTCTAATTATGAGGAAGTTGGTTCATTTGGTTGTTTTTCCTCTAATACCGAGCCTAAATTTGCCTCTGAAATTTTCACCCAGGTCATTGTCACCAAGTCACAGAGGAGGAAACCAAGCCTCATTTAGGCTAGGTAAATGAACGATCGAGGTAACGTGGCTGGAAATTGTTGGAGCTGACATCTGAAACCCTGGTCTGCTGACTGCAAGTTCAACATCCTCCCCACTATGCAATGATTCCTCACACACCGCCTTATAGGTCGTTACATTTACCTGTGTGTGGGCATTGTCTCCCCAGATGCATTTTAAGTTCTGAAGGACAGAGGCTAGGATGAGATATTTCTTTATAGTTCCTGAGAATTTTTAGTGTAGCAGCTCATCCATGGTAGAGGACCAATTACTAGCCATCGATTATCTGACTGATAATCAGAACCTCTCACAAATACATATATATATAAAATCCTATAATATAGCATATGCTATATATATATAGCATATGCTATATTATAGGATATATGTTTATTATAGAATACATTATTATGGTATATTGTTGATAGTATATATTATATATGATATGATATATAATCATATGTATAATATTTTGAATATACAACTAATATACATAATGTGTATAGAATTTATTTTATGACATACTAATATATCATATGTGATATATACTATTATGTCACATGATATATACTACTGTATCACATATGATATGTACTAATATATGATATATCATATATAATACTTTTAATATATAATAACATATGTATCCACACATATGTATATATAAAGTGCTTTCTACATTTCAAAGCCCCTTCTGAGGCATCATCCCATCGGTCCCACAGAATACTGACAAGGCATAGGCAAAACCCCTCTTTTGTGACATTGAGTAAGTGACTCTGATATCCTTGGGCCTGTTTCCCTTTTTATAAAATGTGGGTGCTGGACCAGTGGATCTCAAAGGCCCTTGCCAGCTCTAAAGTTTAAGAGGTGTTATTATCATTATTTTAGGCATGAAGAAATGGAGGTGATAATAAGTGGCATTTCTTCAAGACGGTAAGTTTGCCAAGCAATTTAGATGAATGATTGCATTTGATATTCATAATGATATTTTGAATTGGGTAGCAGAAGTATTATTTATCATCCCCCATTTTACAGAGTAGGAAACTGGAGTTAGGAAAGGGGCTGGCCATTGCCCCGGCCATGTAGCCAGTGATTTCCAGAGGTGTGATTTCTTCCTGAGTTTCTCATTACTGTGGAGGACCCCACCATCCTCCCATGCACTCATCCTCAACCCCTTATTCTCTCTCACTCACCATATCCAATCTGTCACTAAAGCCTGTTGATTTTGCCTTTGTAACAACATTCATATATTCCCCCTTCTCTCCCCTGACACTGCAGGGCAACCTCTTATCACTTCCCACCTGGGAGTTGAAATAAACTGCTGGTTGGGCTTCTTATAACAAGTCTCTGTACGTCCCCCACCCAGCTGTCAAAGTGAGCTTCCTAAAGCACAGATCTAACCCCATCACCCCTAATCTGTAAACACCAATGGCTCCCTATCACCTCCAGGATCAAACATAAGACCCTCTGTTTGACATGCAGACCCCTTCATGACCTGGCCCCTTCCCACTTTTCCAGTCTTCTTATACCCTATGCCCTTCCCCCACCCCACATACTCTTCCATCCAGGGACGATGGCCTCATTGTGGGTCCTCCAACAAGACACTCCGTCTTCCGAATCTAATTTTTCACCGGCTGTCCCCTGGGCTTGGAATTGTTTCCTTCCTGATCTTCATCTCCTGGCTTGCTTCAAGTCCCAGCTAAAATCCCGCCACCCACAGGAAGTCTTTTCTGATTTCCCCTTAACTCTAGTGCCTTCTCTCTTTTAATTATTTCCTGTCTATGCTGTATGTATCTTGCTTGTACATAGCTGTGCACATCTTATCTCCCCCCTTACATTGTAAGCTCCTCGAGGGCAGGAACTATCTTTCACCTCTGTTTCTAGCACTTAGCACAGTGCCTGGTTGGTGCGTGGTGTTGTTCATTTGTGCCCAATTCTGCATGGGGTTTTCTTGGCAGATACTGGAGAGGTTTGCCATTTCCTCCTTCAGAGGATCAAGGCAAACAGAGGGTAAATGACTTGCCCAGGAACACACAGCTAGTATGCGTCTGAGGTCGGATTTGAAGTCAGATCTTCCTGACTCCAGGCCGAGCTCTCTATCCACTGAGCCACCTTTCTGTCTGTGGCCTAGCACATAGTAGGCACTTAATAAATGCTTATTGACTAACTTGATGCCCAGCACTCTCTAGACACTACAACACATTTTCTCTCCAAGGACAAATAAAGGGGTCAAGTGGCTTGCCTGAGGTCACACAGAGTCAGCTGGGGCAGCAAGCTCTTTTGATTACAGATACAAGGTTCATTTCATTCAGAATTCAGAAAACTGGATCCTCTTAAATTCAACGAATGGAATGTTTCCTTCTCAGCAGAGCTGGGTAGTAGCACAAACTCCTCCCAGATACTGTTATTTTACAGATATTGTCTATTTTTCTATCATCTAGGTAATTAATAATATAATATCATTTCTATCATCAATAAAAAAATCTATTCCTCCACCCTCTTCCTCCCAGAGGCATCCCCTTTTAACAAAGAATAAAAGAGAGAAGGAAAAAACGTTCTATCAAAACTAACCAACCTATTAACCACTATCAGTTGAAATGAGAAGGAAGCCATATATATATATTGGTATTTGTATGACTGGCCATATACGTACACTGGGAAGAAGGCTGGGTAAGATGATTATTTCTAAGGATTCTACATGGCAATTACTTCCAACAAGAACCTAAAGTAGGAAATTTGGCACCCAGGGCGAGCAGCATATAAGGTGCTCTGAGTTGAGGAAGAGGAGGAGGAAGAGCTGGCCACTGCTCCGTGGCAGGTGTGCCCAAACTCCAGGGACTGGCTCAAGGCTGCTACAGGGTAGACCAGGTCAAGGAGGAAGGGGCGTGGCAGCAGGGTTGGGGGAACCATCAAACAGAGACCATCAAACACCTGGTCTGAGTCAGCTGTTGACAACCACAGAGAAGTGGGCTTCATTTGTCTTCATTGCCTTCCCAGCTCCAGGATGACCAAAGATTCTTTGCCTCTCATATACAGTTAACCACCAAGTTCTGTTCATCCCTTCTCTCTTCCACCCATTCTCTCCTCTTTGATACAATGAATGGGAAGAGTGTTTGAATTATAGAGTCAAAGGACTTCAGTTTTAATCCACCACCTCCCTGTCACTTACTACCTGAATAACCTTGGGAAAGTCATCTAACTCTTCAGGCCTCAGTTTCTCCATCTGTAAAATGCCTAGATTGGGCTAAGATGTCCTTAGAGTTCTACCTCTAAGTATATGGCCCTATGAAGTACAAACACTAATCTCACCCTCATATAAACCCTCATCACCATCCACTTGGCTTATTTCTTATTTCAGCTGCCTCTAATCAAGTCTTCCTGCCCCCTTTCTCCCCATTGTAACCTATCATTCATACACTACTGCTGAAGTAATCTTTCTTATACATGGATCTGATCATGCCATTATTAGGCTTCTTGAGAATTTTCAATGGCTCCCTATTGCCTCCTAAAGAAAAGTCAAATTCCTTTAACTAGCATTCAAGGCCCACCACTTTCTAGCACTGCCAGCCTCACTTTACTTCGTTCCCCTCCATCTCCAGGGTGGGATAATTTTTGGTTTTGTCATTAGGATGCGGTGCCTCACATGGTACCTGCAGACACTTGTTCAATGACTAAATGAATTTTACACACCAACCAAACTATTCTACTCTCACCACTGAATATGTGTGGTACTCTCTTGCCTCCTTGACTTTGCCTAGGCTGTGCCCTATGCCTGCAATGCTCTCTCTCCACTTCTTCGCCTGCTGAATTCTTCTCATTCTTTAAAGCCAACTCAAATGCTACCTTCTTCACTAAGACTTCCCCAATCCTCTCTGTTCCTCTGTCAGGATTCACAGGGCACATTTCCCCCCTTCTCTAAAGCATTTTTTCCATGTTAAATAATGTATTTCAGTTACCTATACTTGTGTCTAATCTCCCTACTCAAGACAGAGTCCTTTAAGGACAGAGGCCGTATCTTAACTGAAATGAGTAGGTAATTAATAGATGTTTATTGAATGAGCTCGTTCATGGTGTAATAGAGGAAGCCTTGAGATGTGCTGCTAATGGGAGAAAGGGGTGTGCCCTCCCCAGTTTTGACCAGTTCCTTCTCTGGAGGCAGCCACCCTGCGGGTGACCACATTCACCTGTCAATGAGTCCAGGCCCACTCTGGTGGATACCAAATTGTTGGCCTCCTGTCTCCTAGGCCCCCATCCATCTCTACCCCCAGCCTTTCCTGTCCCCATCTGACCTGAAAACACCGAGTACTCACTCGTCAAAGCAGTGGGCAGCCGTGAGCACCCAGTACTTGCTCAGGATGGAACCGCCACAGAGGTGGAAACCCCTGAAGAAAAGGCTCACTTGCCATGGCCATTGCCCTTTGAGGGCATCCTGACCCCCAAGGATCTTCCCTTTTCGAAAAGGCTGCCCGCACTCTAATTGGAGAGAGATACAAGGAAAGAGCCATGATTATAGAGAGCAGAGAAAATAAACAGGAGTAGGGGGTGGGTAGGGGGCAATGAAAGAGGGAAGGAAAGAGAGAGACAGAGACAACCAGAGAGGCCAGAGGTAGCCAGTGAGACACAGAAAAAGGAAGATGAAAAGAGAAACCCTGGCGAATCAATCCGAATATTTGTTAAGTGGCTCTATAAGCCAGGCACTGTGTTAAGAACTGGAAATACAAAAAGAGCCAAAAGACAGTCCCTGCCCTCAAAGAGTTTATAATCTAATGGGGCAGGGATAGCATGCAAATAAATATAGACAAAGTAAGCTATATACAGGATAATAGAGGGAAGACGCTGGAAAGAGTCTGATTGATCCACAGTCAGTAAGCACTGATTTAATAACCACTCAGCTCTGGACACAAGCTCCTCATTGGATTGTAAATTCCCTGAGGGTAGGGAATGCCTCTTTTTGTAGCTCCAGTGCTTTAGCACAACCTCTGACACGTGGTAGGTACTTAGTAAAGGTTTATTGGACTGAATTGGGGATACAAAGACAAAAACAAAGTAGTCTCTGCCCTCAAGGAGCTTATATTCTTTTGTGAGAGACAACATATATATGATCAAGCATATCTAAACTGTGTCCAAAAAAAGCAGGGTATAATTTTAGGTGTGTGTATGGGCGGGGGGGGGGGGGGGGGGGGAGGGGGGCGCGCCAATAAGTGCTACTGGTGTGGCGTCAGGAAAAGCTTCAGGTAGAAGGTAATGCCTGAGCATAGTTTTGAAAGAAGGGATGCTAAGAGGCGATCAGGAAAAGGGATTGTAGTCCTGGTGTGGAGAACCAGCCAGGGCAAAGGGAAAGAGAGGAGATGAAATGGGTGTCAACAAAAAAGGGAGAAGAGAGAGAGAAGGAAACAGGAAAGGGAGGGGGGAGAGGAAGAGATAGACAGATGAGAGAGAGAGAGAGAGAGAGAGAGAGAGAGAGAGAGAGAGAGAGAGAGAGAGAGAGAGGGAGGGAGGGAGGGAGGGAGAAAGAGAGGGAGAGAGGGAGGGGGGGGAAGGGAGGGAGGGAGGGAGAGGGAGAGGAAGAGACAGGAGAGAGAGAGAGAGAGTAACAGACAGACAGAGAGAGAGAGAGAAAAGGAGGGAGGGAGGAAGACAGACAGACAAGAATGAGAGACAGAGAAAGTTCAGGGAGGAGAGAGAGAGAAAAGGAGGGAAAGAGAGAGAGGAGGGAAGGAAAGAGAGAGAGAAACAAAATAGGAGAAAGGGGGAAAGGGAGAGAAAGAGACACAGAGAAGGGGAGAGAGAGAATAAGGGAGAGGAAAGAGAGGAGGAAGAGAATAGAAAGGGAAGGAGGAAGGGAGAAAGGGAGAGGGAGAGAAAGAGAATGGGAGAGAGGGGAGAAAGGGGATGAGAAAGAGAGGAAGAGACAGTATATTTAGGAATTGAAGCTGAAAGGAGACAAGGATTTAGAGACAGGTAAGGAGAGGAATGGAAAAAGAGGAAGAGAAAGCAGTGGGAACAGGCAAGGAGAGAGGAGCTGAGGAGGGGGCGCAGAAATGAGGGCACTGGGCGGATGAGTCCCCTTGGCGGCCACTGGTCACCAGGGAAGGGACCCTGGGACTGGCCCTTGGAATACCTCAAGCTGTACCACCTAAGTGACTCTCCGAAGCACACCCACCATCTATGGCAGAGGGAAGGGGCCACTGCCTGTGTTGGGAAAGGTTTCAAAACCAAGTTCTCCTACCTGGATTTCTGTCCTGGAAGTAACAACCTGGGAGAAATAAGAGAGAGAGATGAGCTGTAACAGCAGAGAAGACAGGAGGGGCCGCTTAGCTGGGGGAGGGAGCCCCAAGACCGCCAGACCCAGGGAAGGGGAAGGGGAAGGAGAAGGGGAGGTAACAGAAGGAGGTGAGATCAGAGGTAAAATGGGAAGCAGCAGAAAGGTAACATAACAGGAGGTGAAAGAACCAGTCCTGGGCAGTTCTCTGAGGTTCCAGGGGAAAGAAGTGACCTAATAGGGGGATTTGAGATCAAGAGGAGGTGAGAGCAGGAAGGAGGTGAGAGCAGGGGGGAGGTGAGAACAGGGAGATCATCAGAAGCCTCACTGGGAAGCAGCAGCAGCAGCCACAGGAGGGGGAGCAGGAGTCCTGGGACTGCCTGCCGGAGTGGCGAGGAGAACCCCATCTGGGCTCTAGACGCACATGCTGTGCTACCAGCTCTGGCTGGGAGTGCCCAGACCCCTCCTAGAGAGCGCCCCCTAGGCCTGGCTCTGAGCACAAGTGTGCTCTCACTGGGCCATCTCATTCTTCTTCATCACAATCCTGGGAGACACCTCCCCCACCCCTCACACCCCTCATGCCACCCGCCCCCACTGTGCCCTCAACACCTGGAATCCTACCAGCCTCCCCACATGTCATTCTCTATCCTGCACCTTCCTGCAGGCCTCAAAACTTCCCTTTTGGTTGGGGGGGCAGAGAGAACAGCACTTTACCTCTGGACTTTGGGGAGCCCCCAGGCCGTGACACCCAGGCTTCAGAGGAACTTCTGGTCTGCTGGAGGAGGCCATACAAGGGCAGACCAGATGTGTCTTCTATAGCGAGCCTCCCTTGCCTGCTTGTTGTTATTTGTCCATTGTTCTCAAAGAGGACCGTGACATCAGGGACGTGATGCCATGACTTGCAAGTGAATTGGATTTAAGTGAGGGAGGGAGGGCTGGGCAAGGTCACCAGCCTCACTTTCTCCTCAGAGCCATCTGGGTCCAGTGGCCAGATGTCTATCAAGAAGACTGGAGATGACCCCCAGAGCTAGTGGAGCTTTGTGGAGATTAAGCTTCCAGATTCTATTTCAAAGAGCCCCATTGGGCAGAAATAGCTACCCTGAGCCCAGTACAACATGGCATCGCCATCCTCATGTCCAAATTGGCAATCGATTCCCTTTCCAATCTTGTAATGGCTTCACCCAGTTGTTTTGTTGAGCATACAAGGTCTCAGATAGATTCTGACATGTCCCACGATCAGCTAAATTCAGTGGTCCTGACTCCAAAGGAGAAAGCCTTTGATTATCCAGTCTGGTTCTCTCCAGATCCCAGACACGACCTGGTCAGATTTGTGGCCACCATCCAGGAATCGGTGTGGATAAAGATCTTATCCAGTCTGTCCCTGGAGCGTCCCCCATACAGCAGCCACGCAGACTGACGCTCAGGCTACTAGGATGATACACCAGGATCCCTGCCCCTCAAGGGATATTCCTGTTATGAGGTTAATGATCATTGATGTGGAACCTTTCTTGTATTGAGTGAGCCTGGCGAAACAGGAGCTGGGTGCTCATAAGTGAGGCCCTATCAAAATGAGAGGTGGGGAAAGAGTGTGACCAGTTTGTGAAGAGCATTAACACCTAAGAGACCCAGGTAAACTCGAGGATTTTGGAGTGTTTCATTTCCATTTAATGATGGTAGCCTCTTTTGCCCTGGGTAACTTGTTAGAGGGGCCAACTCGTAATAGGAAACTGGGGATGAAAGTTGATGGTGTGAACCTGCATGTTCTATTTAGAAGCAGCTAGGGCCCAGCAACTGCTTTTTCATAGTGAGCGGTCACTTTGGGGAACCTGAAGTTTCAAAAGCTTAGTGGTCATTTGGCATGGCCAGCCCTAGGTGTTTGCCAAAGCTGTCAATGAACCACTCAGCCTGGTCTTTAAGGTCATGATAGAGTCAGAGGCGTGCCACACGGCGAGTGCTGAATTAATGTTTTGATGTGCATCACCATCCTCTGTCTATACAATTCCAGGATCCAGCCAGGCACGGAGGAGTGTTGATGGAGGGAGGATGCTTAGGGGACCTGAGTTGAACATAAAGGAGAAGATGGTGGAATGATGTCCTGATCGGGGGTGCCTGTGGGTTTCCCTTCCAGCTTCCTGGCCCAGACGAGGAGAGCCTGGGTGCATGAATGGTACCACGAGGGCAAAGATGCATGCAAAGAGAATGTACCTATAATGTACAGAAGCAGAGATGGGCACTGTTTGGGGAGGTGGGGAGACCAGCTCAGGAGGCAGGAGGCCTGTGTAATCTGGGTCATTCTCTGCTATCAAGCTGTCAGGGTGCTCTGAGTTCCTGAGTCACTATGACACCCCAGACACGGACCCACTGAGGAAGCTTTCCATGAGTGGGAAAACTTGGGAGTAGCTGGAGTCAGGGTTCTGGGATGGGCAATTGATCCCTGGTTCAGGGATGGTCACAGGGATTGGGTGCATTGACGTTAAGTTGCTCTGATCTACTTCTAGTATTCTGACTCAAAGTTTCGTAGGAAGGAAGCATTTATTAAGTACCTACTATGTGATAGGTATGCTTTGCAAATATTATCTCATTTGATCCTCATAACAATCCTGTGAAGTAGGTGCTATTATTGTCCCTCTTTTACAGGTGAGGAAACTGAGGCAGAGAGTAAATGACTTGTCCAGGGTCACATAGTAAGCATCTGCAGCAGGATTTGAATTCAGGTCTTCCTGACTCCAGGCCCACTGCTCTATGCACTGTGGTGCCACTTAGCTGCCCTTCAAATCATACCATATGTGTTGTAAATGACTTTTACTGGGAGCACAGCAGGGGTCAGGAGAAAGAGGAGAAACTGTCAGAGCAGGAAGGAGGCTGCCAGTCCTGACCTGATTGGATAATCCACATCAGACCCTGGACCAATGGGATACTACCCACAAAGAGGTAGGGCCAAGGGGAAAGGACAGCAGCTGCTGGGAAGAGAGAGTCTGAGGGAGATACAGAGAAGCTAGGCTGACACCAGAGAGTGCCATCTGGTGTTCGGTGGTGCACATGACAGAAAGTTGGTCACCTATGAATGAATGAATGAATGATGAATAGATACATGGATGGATACTACGCCCCAAATTGTTCTTTGGGACCTCAGACTCTACATGTTCTTAACCAAACTCATCGCCTTTCCCAAAACCACTTTCCCCTCTCCCCAGTTTCCCTATTTTTCTGTTGATGGCTCCACCCATTCTGATGTAGTCCCCCCTGTCTCAAAATGTCCGAGTTATCTCCTATTCTTTGCTCCCCTTCACCCCCACATTCAATCATTCACCAAGTCCTGATGATTCAACCTCTGAGACATCTCTTGCCTCTGACCCATCTCTTTTAAGTACTACTACAACCCTACCTAGAGCCCACCTGACATCGGATTACTATAGCAGGAGCCTCTGGTTTGTGTCTCTCTCCAACCTAGGACATCTTCCTCATGGCTTCCTGTATAGTCTTCCTAATGCATGCCTGACCCTATCCCTTCCCTGAAGACTCAAAAGCCTTCAGTGGTCATAATTGCTACCCCTGTCTTTTTTGCATCAGCTGAAGCACAATAAATTCTGCTCCAACCCTCCATTTTAACCCTGTATGTGCGTCTCATTCTTAAATGCGTTTCCTGTGATTCCTCATTGCCAAAGGATAAAATACAATTTCCTCTGTGTGAAATTTAATGTCTCCACAATATAACTTCAACTTACCTTTCTGGTCTTATTCCCTCTTCCTCTTTTCAAGGACTCAATAGCCCCTTATCTCACCCTGCCCATGTGTATTGGTACAGATTGTTTCCCCGCACTATCTGAAACATATTTCCTCTGCATCTCCATTTATTTGTTTGGTTTTTGCTAGGCAATGGGGTTAAGTGACTTGCCTAGGGTCACATAGCCAGTGAATGTTATGTGTCTGAGGCCGGATTTGAACTCAGGTCCTCCTGACTCCAAGGCCAGTGCTCTATCCACTGCGCCACCTAGCTGCCCCTACATCTCCATTTATTGAAGCCCCTTTTTACCTGAGGCCCAGCTCATGTGCCCCTTCTTCCAGAACAACTGCATGCCCACCAACTTTCCATTATCCCCCTCCCTTCCCAAATATTCACAGAGCACGTTATCTAGATTTCTCTGTTCCCACCATCCCACTCTTCTTTGTATTTTATTGATCTGCATATCATGTATAGGATTGCAGATTGTACCTTAAAGCCCCATGTTAGAAAGAGCATTTTCCACCTTCGTATTGCCAGGATCCAGCAGAGAGACTGGCATAGTAGGCAATAAATTTTACTAATTTTTGTTATATATATAATTATATATTACAAATATATATAAATTAATATTATTTTGTAAGAACATATATAAATTATTGTATGTATATATAAAATATTGTATTGTGTATATTGTATATATTTTTTCATATAAACATGTAATATATTTTATGTATGTGTATAAATATCTGTATATATAAAATACATATGCAAATATATGTGTATATATGTGTATGTGTGTATGTATATATACACATACATGTGCATGTGCCTATACATATACATATACATATACATATACATATACATATACATATACATATACATATACATATACATATACATATACATATACATATACATATACATATACATATACATATACATATACATATACATATACATATACATATACATGAGGTCTTCCTAAAGCTCTGCCCTGATCCATGATCAAAATTTGGAGGTGACTCTGACTTCCTGAAGACTGTGTCAAGAGAACTCAAGTTCCAAAAACCTCCACAGATCAAGAAAGGAGCTTGGGTCTGGTGACAGCTTTGGGTCACTTGTCACTTCTCCCAGAATCACCTTAGCCAAATTCGAAGGTGTCCGGAGCTAGGCTGGCCACAGGGCAATGATGTTTTTGGCCACAGTAACCTTGAGAGTTAATACACCAAGTCAGAGAGGAGGTTGGTCTCCATTGCTGGAGAGAACGGCCACCCAGATGACATTAAATTTTCTTGTAGTTGAAGTTAATACAGGATCAGAGGGCTATGGCTGGAAGAGATGTTAGAGGTCATCCAGTCAAGGCTCATAGATCTAGGACTGGCAAGGAACTCAAGGGCCAACTAGTTCAACCCCTTTGTTTTACAGATGAGGAAACTGAGGCCCAGAGAAGTTTGGTGACCTGCCCAAGGTCACATCACTAGTAAGGAGCAAAGCCAGAATCTGAACCCAGTTTCTCTGCCTCCAGAGCCAGTAGCCTTTCCATTCATTCACTTGAAAGAGTGTAATTAATAATTCAATTTTGGATTTCTGTTATTAACTGTAAATAAAAGGATGGGACCACAGATTGTCAAAGAAGAGAAATACCTTTGAGATCACCTGATCCAACTTCCTGTCTACTGCAAGGATTAGTAACTGAACCAGCCAGCTAATTGACCAATGATTTGGAAACAAGTGGAGAAAACAACTCATTTTTGGCCCAAGTTTAATTTTTTTTAAC